ATTCGGTAGCTAAGATACCTACCACTATTCCAATTATCACAGTGTGTCTTTATATTCCACGCTTGACCTTTGATTAACAGCAGTTCCGCCCATATTTGTTGTATTTCGCCGATACCGTACAACAGGCTGTCAAATTCCGGCTCGTGTGTTTTTTAGGCACACATCAGAAAAGGAATGAAATAAATTTTTATGTCTATGTTATACCTGTGTGTAGAATATTCAAACCGAATTACAAGGATCACCATAGTAAATTGGTGAGACAGCAAAATAGTTCATTGTTGGATCTGAACGAGCTGAAAAAAACTGAGCTCGGATGTACCGGGCGGCTCGCCTCAGAAGTTCCAAACTCGATTTCTGCCCCTCTACACAAAATACCCACCTCAAGCTCTCCGCTAAGATGTTATCTTGTCCTCTGCTGTCAGTCCATCTCCCCTAAGCTTAGTCCTTCACGCTGGTTTGTTAAACAATAATCATAAGTGTTAGATATTCCTTAATTCTTCGCACCTGTGCAACAAATTCATCAAAGAAGAAGGCTTTGAGCCTTTCTCCTCGTTCTATTCACAAGTGAATCTCTGTTCAAGACCGGGTTGCTAGCTCCGACTTAAGAACAAACATCTCCAGCTTTGGTGGTCGTTGGCTTGTTCGCTGAGCTGGGCAATTTGATTGCAACGTTTCATCGGATCTGAACGAGCTGAAAAAAACTGAGCTCGGATGTACCGGGCGGCTCGCCTCAGAAGTTCCAAACTCGATTTCTGCCCCTCTACACAAAATACCCACCTCAAGCTCTCCGCTAAGATGTTATCTTGTCCTCTGCTGTCAGTCCATCTCCCCTAAGCTTAGTCCTTCACGCTGGTTTGTTAAACAATAATCATAAGTGTTAGATATTCCTTAATTCTTCGCACCTGTGCAACAAATTCATCAAAGAAGAAGGCTTTGAGCCTTTCTCCTCGTTCTATTCACAAGTGAATCTCTGTTCAAGACCGGGTTGCTAGCTCCGACTTAAGAACAAACATCTCCAGCTTTGGTGGTCGTTGGCTTGTTCGCTGAGCTGGGCAATTTGATTGCAAACGTTTCATCACCAATCGAGGTGACATCATCAGTGCGTTATTGTGGAGCGTAGTAGTGCGTAGCGGTGGGTTGGTGCTTGTGCCAGCTTTCTCACTGGTCAAATAGTCGTGCTCCAATCTCTGCCCAGGGGAAGTCCTGAAGATAATATTCCTCCGTACTTCAGCCAGCACCGCTGATGGTGGGCGAGCTTTCCATCTCAACGTTCGTTTTCACTTTCTTATGTTTTCACATGCGTTATTCAATGCAAATTTCCCACCTCCGTGCCATCAAGCTGGAGATCATTGGGTTTTCCTCAGGTAGATTCTGACTTAGCTGCTGTCTATAGTAATATTGCAAAAAAACAATCCATTTACGTGGAAAACAGTTCCTCTCTCTTGCATCTGATATCCACCGATGAAACCCAAAGACCAGCAACTTCAAGGTTGAATCCTAAGTGTGGCGTTCCCATGGGTGCGCGATCAAACGTTCCGCAATACAGACAACGTACTACATGAGCCAGGGCTTTACGCCTCGTGACTCATCGTAATATTTTGAGGTGATATTTCAAATCCATCTCTTGATACAATCACTTGCGCCTACCAGAAAAGTAATAACGCCTGTCCACGAAAAATGTACCTGTATGAGCCCTACTCATGCTCATCCTCACATGGATCACAGCTTCTGGAATACCCTGTGTCCAGTTGCAGGAGCCCTCGTTCCTCAGTGAAGTTGAGATAGTATGATTCGTCACTGCTCATCATACAATAACACTAATAACCTTTTCCTATCGACCGACAAAAATTGCTTCTATTTTAGTTTTATCTTTCCTCCGTTGCAGGAGGCGGAGTATGAGGTTCAGCATAGGGTAGGAATGTCTTCGGGGATAGAGCATGCAGTTGGAGTTAGAGCTGTTGACTATGCACTCTTTCGCATTATTGAGGAGATGAAGGGAGGTATGGGTGGAGATTGTACTAAAAGATTCGGAGGGTTTTTAGGGTTTTCACAAACCGTCCGGTGACGAAACAACTTCATACGGATCACGAAACTCTTGGATGCTGTCGGTGCTACTCGCCTTCCAGGATGGGGACCGGGTGATCCTCACTGTTCCTGGTTGAAGACACTACAAGATTGGGCTGCCAACCGATGTCAGTGGCGTTCTTGTTGTCATTTTCTATTCAGATCGCTTGAGTGAGTGTCTGGAGATATCGGCACCTCAAAATTATTGTGGTAAGCTAGCACTAAGTCCCTTCCCCGCCCACCTTTACTCTTTTTCTTACAACAAGGCTTTCAGATAAATCATGGTTGTACGACAGCGGAATACCAGTGTTTAACACTGATGTTTTGCTGTTCATGATGATGATAGAGATAGGTAGCGACCGAAAAGTCCGAACGGGAAGAAAATATGTAGATAGGCGGGTAAAGCGCATTACGAAGATGAATTTTGAGGAGTAAGTGTACACCGAGCATTTGAAGAACAAAAGCTGGTTTAATTGCACTATGGCGGTGTTTTTTACCCGGGTGAGGGTTAAAGGATATTTGTTCCTGGGCCATGTGATACAGTGTGTCTGAGATGTGGGAAATTTTTTATACATAACCGGATGCCGAAGATCACAAGAGTGTCGGTTCACAAACAGATGCACTTTAGCATATCGGTTTCATAGAAAGGTGCCTGTAGTTGGTGAGACTGCTACCGTGGTTGAGGATGGGATGGTTACAAGTTATGAGGAGGAGGAGGGCGACGTAGCTGTCGATTCTGTTAAGCTACATTATATCGGTATCAGGAAGCAGAATTGGAGTGGATTTAGGTTCAAGTGCTCTAAACGAGCATATTAGATAACAATCACCCACCAACTTACTAGATCTTAGGTACGACTGCATCCATGGGTGCACGTTTGAATCTCTGTGTACAGGCGGCTATCTCATTATTGCCAGCGGGACTAATTAATCAAGTGGTAATTTCACCTTTATAGCAGTAGGACTTAGCTTCAGCGTGGACACCAACTGGGAATTGTGGGCAACTGAATTCTATTAAGCGCTTGGTTAGTTCACCATTATAAGTTTCTTTAATTACGTGCTTTCAACGATACTACGAAGGATGTACTCGAGTTGTAATTGATTATTCCCTTTCGATTGAAAGCGGCTTCCTGGAAATGAGACCTGAATTGACTACAAATAACGTTTATACGGATGCAGCCAAGAAAAAGAAACACAATTCGCCAAGAGTGGTTGTGTATTTTTCAACCAAGGACTTGTTTGTTCCAACAATATGATGGTGCAATCTTGGGTATTGCTGAGTGCCCCCAAAATGATGAAACGCGCATAATTAGTCATTCAGCAAACAACCTTCAGAAGGTAGCCATCGCCCTACTGGATTTCAGGTCAGTCAAAATGGTATGACGTATTCTTCTCGGCGTGCCTGGGCACCTTCTGTGCGGCATGCTTTGGTGTATCTGAGTGGTGCACCCAGTTTCCCGGGCGGCCGTTCGTGTCATCCAGACGGCTGCTGGTCACATTACCAAAATGTGCCATTCCGGGTTGGGCGTGCATAGCCCATTTGTGGCTGATGTACAACCAGTGGGCCGTAAGGCAAAAGATAAACCATGGGTCCGTGCTGCGCAGGAGGTGCAGATTTTGTCGGAGTCTATGTGCTAGTTTTATGATAGACAAACAACTGATATTGTCCAGATGAGGCATAAGGCGAAATATGTGCTGGCTTTTGGTATTGTGCCTGTGACTAAAATACATGATACATACGTGCTCCCTAATATGAAAGTAGCACATTGCATCGCAGCCGAACAGTTTATTCGCTTTCTGCGAAGGCATACATAGCCGGACGTCCAATACCCATGCCATCCGCGATCAGGAAGGTGTAAAGCTTATTTGCATCTACAGGCCATGTATCAGTCACTTTGAAAGAACTTGCCCAGAACGGCGCTATCTGCTTCCATCTAGAAAACCATATGTGGTTATAATGACATTTCCCTTATTGCAACGAAAGCACGCGCCCGGCCTCCAGAAATCTTGCCAGAATCGAAGGCATATCATCTGTCACAACCATAATCAACAGAGATGGTTGACACATTTGCAGTAGTTGTATGTGTCCTGAGTGGTGAGGACGTTGCCAAAATCATTGGCCACAAATACTTTCACTTCACACGATGGTGTTTCATGATTCATCAAAGCCCTACGGGTGCCCGCCTCCTCTTCCGTTGGTTACCGATTTACCGGAAGCTGGTCGTACAAAAATTCCGCCAACTTGTGATTGTCTTCCAGATAATAATACAAGATAGTTTCTGTCTGGAAACCCGGTGCTGCATATATTACTTGTAATTAGCGAATGCGCTCAACTTACTGGCCTCTTTGAATCCCTCGACTTTCTGTTGGTTTTTCTGGCCGCATGTTGCATCTATATTATGGTATTGTGATGAACATGACTGATGCTCTATTCATTGCTCTATTCATTATTCTCTTGTTTTAATATTCCATATGCTGTACATATTCGCCAATTCGAATACATACGTGCTGGTTGCCACTCTTCGCTGAATTCTGGATTTCTAGTTTGTCGGGTTGTACCGATATACGTACGAAACTTAATTACCACAT